CACGCGCGCACACACCCTCTCTCAGCGACTCCCAAAAGGAAAAACGCCTCTCCTGACCCCACTAGGTCCCAAGGTGGCGTCTCAGTCTTCTCTGAATTCTGAGTTTGCCACTTTGGGGTCCCAGTGCACACAGGGCACACACCATTCCAATAAAAGCCATCACAAACACAGACATCTCTCTAACGAAGTGGCCTCCAGCCCCCGCCAGCGGGCCACCGTCCCCCAACAGTACCTGGAGCAGCGCCCCGCTCCTCCGCTCCGGGCCCAGCCAGGGAGGGCGCCCTGCACCCGCCTCGGTGCCCTTGGGTGCCCCCACGCGCCGGGTCTCCGCTCATGGCTCGGAGGCCCCCTGCGAGGGGTGTGCGGCCTCCTGCAGCCAGTGACCCTGCCGTAGTGGGCTCCTAGCAGCCTGGGCCTCAGAAAGCTCGGTCCTGCACGAGGCGCGGCTCGGGCTGAAAGGGACAGAGGACCCAGCTCACAAGCCTCCCCTGCCCTCGAGCACAGCCCAGCGACCCCTCCTGCAGCCCCCGCCCCTTCCTCCACCCCTTCCCTCACCACCTGCTGACCCCAGAGGCTGCAGGAAGAGCCGGGCGGGCCTCCAGGCAAGCGCCCCCCACTTCCACGAGCGTGCAGGCGGAGGAGGTTTTCTGTTACTAGTTCTATCATTCTGTTCGCCGCCCACTAAGTCACAATATTGTGGGAGGCGGCTGTCACAGAGCCCTGCAGGGTGACAAGTGCCATGATCCCCGCTGTCAAGTGCTCCTGTTCCCCAGTGGGCTCCTGGGTCCCCATCCTCGCCCCTGAGAAGCCCAAACCTTCTCAACTAGCCAGCGACCCACTGCAGCTCAGCGGTCAGCGGCCCTCCACTGCCTCCTGTGTGGGCAGAACACCCAGAAAGAGCCGGGACGACAGAAGCAAGGCACTGGCCACATGCACGTGTGAGGCTGGAGAAGGAAACCAGGAGGGGAAGCAAGTCTGGGGCCAGAGACAGGGGCGCAAAGGGGCACCCCGGCCTGAAACCGGCGGCAAGGGTCTCTCCAGATCACCAACAGCTTTGATTTTGACTGAGAGAGAGGATTTGGCTCCGAGACCCTCAGTATGTGTCTCCCCTGGGCACTGGGCCAAGAGGAGGTGCGAGGCAGGGGAGGAGAGAGGGGGGCCGCGGGTGGTGGTGCGGGTTCTCGCTTGGCCTTCCTGAGGGCACAGGCCAGTTAGCTGTGGGGCTTTGGGCAAATTACTTCCCCTCTCTGGGCTTCAGCTTCTCTGTCGATAAAATAAGGGAGCTGGGGCATGGGATACCCAAGGCCCCAATCCACTCTGACGGCACCCCAGGGTCGTACAGCTCTGCGGTTGGCTGAAGCCTGTACAGGCATCTTTCCTCCCCAGAGTGTGTGAAGACGCAGGTGCCCGGGTGTCGCCCCCAGAGATTACGATGCAGCAGGTTGGAGACGGGCCAGGAATCTGCACCACCACAAGCCCCCATCGTGGGTGACGTGACGCAGACAGTCACGTTGAGAAGTCAGGCCCTCTCACTGCCCGCCACTGGCACAGGCTGTGCATCGGAACCGGGGCCTTGAGTTCCTGACGCGAGGCTGCAGGGCAGTGTGTCCTGGGCCGTCTACTCCCTTGGCACAAGCGCACTGTCCCTTCCCTGGGAAAGTCCACTCCCCCTTCTCCAGGCTTCACCCCTCCAGCTCCCCAGGGGACGCCCCGCCAGGGGCTCGCTGCTGAGACTGGCCACCAGGGGGTGCTGCAGGCCCTCAGGCGCCATGGAGCCGCTGCCGCAGTGCTGCAGAGCGCGGCGCCCAGTGGGTCCCAGCCTCTGCGTCCTGCTTAGCACATCCCTTCTCCGGGCTCCGCGCTCCTGGGGCCCAGTGCCGACATCCTCCCCAACCCCCATCCTCCTCGGGAACAGACAAGGGTTTGCTGCACCCATCCTGGGAGCCCGCCGGCTCTGGAGAGAGGGGGCAGAGGCTGGCTTCCGGCGCTGACAGTGTGGGGGTGGCCCCAACACCTACGGGCTCCCCTCGACAAGCCCAGAGGCAGGGCCGAAGTTCCCAGAGACCCACTGGCCTTCCTGCTCCAGCAGCTGCAGACGCAGTGCTTGCTGCCCGTGGACAGTGGACCAGGCTTCAGTCCCGCCCCGTCACTTCTGCTGCTCCAAGGTGTTCCAGGGCACAACACCTCCTTAGGAGGAGGAAGCAGGGTCACCAGCCTGGCCCTTGCCGGGGCGAGTGGCTGCCTCTCTCTGCAGTGAGGAGCGGCCCAGTGCAGCCTGTGCTTTGGAAGAGCTTGGAGGGTGAGCACATAAGCTCCAGGGGCTACTGCCTGACACCTGGCACCGTGTGCCTTGGGGAGACTCTCTGGTCGAGGGCGGCCGGCGTCCAGGGCTATGGGCCCTGGAGAGGGCGCCTGCCTTCAGCTCTGTTTGGAGGGGTGCTGGTTTGCTCACCCTGAATTCTGCCTCCTTTCCCTCTGAATGTGAGCTTCTAGGGTCAGAGAGCGGATTCTCAACACAGTCTGCCTACCCTCATTTAGAGACCTGGGTGCAGAGGGCTGGCCTCCTGCAGGTCATGGCCTGCCTGCGTCGGCTAGGGCTGGGGGCTGTGGGGCTGCGGGACGTGGCCCTGGTTCCCTGACAGCCCTGCTCTCCTGCCCGGTAAACCTCACCTCACGGTCTCCTGGCAATGCCCTCCAGTGATGCTGCCCGGAACCTGCACGTGACACTCGGCTCCAATGAAGTCGCAGCTGCTGGGAGCCCAGTGGTCGTTATGGAAACAGTTCTCACAGCACCCCCCCAGGACCATCTGCTGGCAAAGGGGGGTGGGCAGGGGCTGGGCCTGGGCCCAGGTGTGGGCGACAATTGCAAGGGGCCCTGGGGGACTTCTGGTTGTGAAACTAGTAATACTAGTACGGCTAACTCGGCCAGCTCCTCCGGCGCCAGGCACGCTTCTCAGGGCTTTCAGTTTGTGGCTGGGTCAGTTGCCATGACGACCCTCTGAGGTGGTCCAGTTACCATCCCCATTGTAGAGTGAGGAAGCGGAAGCCTGGAGGGGTTACGTAAGCAAAGCCTGGACCAGAACCAGCCTGACTGCAGAGACACCGTCCTCTGACGTCGCTGCAGCCTCGGTGCACACAGACGAGCGCGTGCAGGGTGCTCGCAGAGCTCCCGTCCACAAGGCTTCGCAGCCCCCTTCCAAGTGTTCCACTCAGTGGCTTTTAGCGCATTTGCAAAGTTGTGCAACCATTGCCACTGCCTAATTCCAGAACATTTTTATCACCCCCCAGAGAGACCCCAGACCCATCAGCCATCATTCCCATCGTCCCCTCGCCCAGCCCCTGGCCACCCCGTCTGCTTCCTGTCTCTGCAGCGTTGCCCGTTCTGGACACCTCAGATGAACGGGACGGTAAACATGGCAACTTCTGTGATGGGCCCCTTCCCTGCCAAGGCTCCCTCATACACCGCGCGTCAGCGTGGCACGCCTGTTCACGGCGCGGTAAGCTTCCACTGTGCGGAGCCACCGTATTTCACTTACCCCGTCATCATCTGATGGGCATTTGGGTCGTCCCCATGTCTTGCCCGTTTTATGTATAAAACTGCTATGAACATCCACACCCAAACTTTCACCTGGACGGATGTTTCCATTTCTCTTGGATGTAGGCCGAGAGTGCCCCCGGGGCCTCACAGTAACTCTGACATTTGAGGAACCTCCAGGCTGTTCTCCAAACAGGCCCCCGCATCTCGCCCCACCCTAGCCGTGTGCCAGGGTTCCACCTTCTCCATGTCCTCTCCAACGCCTGTTACTGGTTTTTTTTTGATGATCGCCATCCTAGTGGCTGTGAAGTGGAATCTCACTGTAGCTCTAACCTGCATTTCCCTAATGACTTACAATGTCGAGCATCCTTCTATATTGAAACTACTTGAAGTTAAATTAAAACGAAGGTTCAGCCTCTCAGCTGCATCAGCTACACTTCAGCGGCTCCGCGGCCGCACCATCGCCTGGGCTGGCGACCACGGCAGCAGACAGGGTGCGTCTCTGTCGCCCAGAAGTCCCCCTGGGCCACTCTGCCCAGCCCACTGGCTGGTTCTACACCGGCGCCTCGGCTCTTCCCATAATGTGTTGCCTTTGGTGCACTGAGTTCAGCAAACCTGCTTTGCAGATGGGGCCCATCTTAAGGCTCCCAGGGCCCAGAGTGGGTTGGACAGAAAACGGCTGGGGCACAGCATGCGCGTTGGTGGCCGTCAAGGTGAGGGTGGGTCCCGCCAGCACTGCCCACTCTCACTCGTGTGCCGCCCCTGAGCCGCCGGCATCACTGCCTTTCCCAGGACCTACCAGAGGCCAAGTGACAAAAGGTGTCAGTCTCGCTGGGGGCCTGATTAGAAAGCACAGGAGTTCCAGGCATCAGCGCTCCTGGCTGCAGAGCCCTCAGAGCTCTCCAACCTTGACCGCTGCAGGTCCTCTGCAGACTACCCGCCTGGCTCTCTCGGAGTGGCTGTAGCTCAGCAAGTGGACAAGCCAGATGGACAGGCTGCTGCTGCCTCCAAAGCCCCAACTGTCCCCCGAGAAGCTGCTAATGTCCACCCTGACCATCGGCACAGGGGGCCAGCCTCGGGGGCACAGCCGTGGCTGGAGCTCCTGTTGGGGGCTAGGGGCGTAGGGAGGGGCTCTGGAAGAGGCGGCCACTGGCCTGAAGCCAGCGGAAGGGCAGGCCTGAGCCTGACCCACAGCAGAGCCTGGCCCAGGCTCGGGAAGGGTGCAGCCTAAGCCCGCTGAGCCACGAGAGAGAGGACTGGGCCTGGCACGGACAGATGACAGGACCACGGGCACCGAGCCAGCTTTCCCACTAGCCAGTCGTGGGGCCGTTCACAAGGCACTTAATCTCCAGCCTCAGCCCTCTCACTGGTCAAACAGGACAGTGGCACTGGACAGTGGTGACTGGACTGCTGGCCGAGTCTGGCTGTGCGGACAGCTGGAAGAGCTGATAAAAGCATGATAAAAGATGGAGGCTGGCGGGAGCCCTAGACGTGGTTTGGCAGAAGGAGAAACTGAGGTCCAGAAGTGTGGCTGTGACTTGGTCAAGATGACAGCGCCTGCGGGTGCCAGAGCCACGCTAGGGGGTGCAGGAGGCGGCCAGGCCTGAGGGAGGGCCCTGGGGGTGGGGATAGGGAGAAGGCCGGGGGCGGGGGCGGGGCCATGCAGGGCTGCCCGGGGCAGGGGGCCCTCTCCTGTGGAGGTCGCTCACACCTCCCTCTCGCCCGCCCGGCCCCGCACGCAGAGCATCTGCTCCTGTGTCGAAGCTGACAGCCGCCTCACCCGCCCGCCTCCTCCCTGGAGGACTCCCATTTCTGAAAAGCTCTGTACTCACAGACCCCCTCGAACCTCGCTGCCCACCCCCAGGACCCTCAGGCTCAGCCCATCTGCCGCCAGCACCTCCAGGATGGTCCCACTACCACCAAAAGGACTAGGCTTAGACAAAGGTCGAGGCGCTCCCCCGGGGCTGCGCACCACCGAAGCAAGGAGGAGAGGTCCGTCTTAAAGAAGACTTCCCACGAAGGGGAGGACTCCTGCCGTTGATGGAGACTTGTTGGAGTTGCTGGGGGGCAGAAAGTGTCCCCCGGGCAGGAAGGAAGGGGAAGGAAAGGAACGGGACATCCTCGGTGTGCGTGCTGAGTGTGGCGCTGAACCCCGACACACGCGTGGTCCTTGAACACCTCAGCCCTGGGCGAGTAGGCAGCTACCCCGCTTCCCAGATGCCAGGCTCAGAGGGGCCTGTTAACCTCCCAAGGTCACACAGCCGGTGCGAGTGGTAACTGGGACTCTGAATCCAAGTGTGAATCTGGAGGCCACGCTTTTTCCACAATAAACTATAAACGACAACAAGAACACAGCGCTGGGCGCCGGGAGGCCCTTCCCAACAGACATGCCGGAGCCGTCCACCTCACAGGTCACAGGAGCGGCCCATCCTGCTCGGTGGAATGAATGCGGTGCAGGGTTGCCAGGAGGGTGCAGGGTTGCCAGGAGACAGGAGGCGTGGGCCGCGAGCCAGGCCAGCGTTCCCCATCTCCAGGCCGCGGGGCCGCGGCCAGCCCCGGCCTGGCTGGCGGGCGAGGCTCCGCCTGACGCCTCCTCGAGGGTGCTCATTTTCCCACTGGGCTCTGCCCCAGTTCTGGAACCTGCGAATCCTCTGGCCTCAGACGAACCTTCCTAGAGCGCCTGGCAGGCCGGTTGTGCTGCCCGCTTGCCAAGACCGAGGCCGTGCTCCGGACCAGGGTGGAATCGGTGCACGCAGAGCTCCCTTCTCCCAACACAGAGCCTGGGAACCAGCTCGGCCCAAGCAGATCCCGTGCACCCTGGCCGCCCTCCCTCTCCTCCACGGCCCCACCCACCCCTCTC